GGAGGGGTGGAGGAATTGAGCAAAATAGGAAAAAAGAAAAAACTCATGGACAACAGTGTGGTGATTTCAGGGGTGGAGGGGAATGGGTAGAGGTAGAAGAGGGCATAGACGGGATAGTGATGGGAAAAATTAAATAAATAAATAAATAAATAAATATTGTAGATGGACACTCCAACCCTAAAATCCACTGTGACATTCCAGTTAAAACCTCTTTACTTCAAGGAATCATAGTAAACTATGCCAATTATTTTCCTACTTAAGCAGAAAATTGATGACATACAAATGTCCACTTCTGTAGAAAATAAACAATCAAGTCATAAATATAAATAAGCAGCTTAGAATCTACTTTGAAATATGAAGACTGATATGCTTTACTTTTGTTAATTAAATATTCTGCATTAACAACAGTTTCAAATTTGTACAGAAAAAACTTAGAAGCTATAAAAACTGAGGCTTAGAGCAGTTTAACAACGTAATTTAATCTGTGTATTATCTTCCAGAACTCCAATTTATAGAAAAATGAACTATTATAGAATTCCCATGAATAGCTGTCAATTAAAATGAACATATCAATTCTGAAGAAGTAAGACCATTTCAGAAATTTCTCTTCACTCTCATTAACCCCAAAGAAACTGAAAGATACACCAGGGCTATCTGGAAGGTCCTGCACTGGCTGGCGTGGCAAGGGGGTTAGAGTGTCAGCCTGTGCACCGAAGGGTCCCAGGTTTGATTACCGGTCAAGGGCACGTACCTGGGTTGCAGGTTCGATCCCTGATCAGGGCGCCTGCAGGAGGCAACCAATGAATGTGTCTCTCTCAACATCAATGTCTCTCTCCCTCCCCCTACCTCCTTCCCTCCTCCTGTCAACTCTCTGAAAATCAATGGAGAAGATATATATATATACTCAAGTGAGGATTAAAAAAAAAGTCATGAGTTAAAGAGGAAGTAGGAAGTCTTTCAAAGTAGAAACAGAAGAATAGCATCTGACAATGCAAAATGTTTCATAATGCAGTTTCTAAGTAAATAAAAAGATATTTGTCAGACTGATCAAGGAAACCATTAATTTATTCTTTGTGTTGCAGCCTCTAAAACCTATGTTTCAAGTGAAAACACACTTAGCACAATGGAAAGTGATGGAAATATCTAAAGAGAATCCACTGAGAAGTAGTTTTGCTCTGCAAGCACAACTTGGGTGCCATCAAACTTCTTTCAATTTACAGTTCATCTTTACGCAAAGACATCTCTGTAAATTTAACCTATAGAAATAGAAGAGACGTGGCAAATGAATTTCAGTATGTATTGGCTGTCTGGTTCAGTACTAAGAAGGATTTCAAGTCAAATTTAAACTCAACCATACACTGCCACAGACAATAAACTATGTCTGTCATATGCCACATTAACTGCCATTGTTGGCCTAGAGAATACTTTATAAATCAATTTATTACCCATAGGGGCAACCGTGGTTCAACTTTTATTTGGCTAGCCTTTCAACTTACAGAAAAATGTTTTATTCATAGAAACAACGTGCTAAAAGGAAAATGTTTTAAATTATCAATGTCTCTTTTTTAAGAAGAAAATGATTTCTTCAATGTGAAAAGAACAGTAAAAATTACATACAGCATACTAAAGTGGCTAATGTAAGAAGAATCATTAAAGACCTTATATTCAAAAAGTGATTACTTACTTTCTGAACATGTAGCTTCACCATTGGTAACAACTTCAGATTCTAATTGCAGCCCATCAAGACAAACTGACAAGTCTCCTATAGTCTCTGTTGGCTCTTTGTCACCTACAAGCTGTAAAGTCACAACTACTTTCTCAACTGGAAAAGAATAAATTACAGAACAAATGATCATTTTTTTTTTTTTCTTTAAATCTTCTTAACTTAAAAACCTAATGTCAGAAAAATATCTACATACTGGTCACTTTTTTTTCCTTTAAGTCATCATAACTGTTAAAACAAGGTGAGAAAAAATTACATGTATGTGTTTATAAATTGTTTTAATATTCTTTTTTAAAATTATATCTTTATTGATTTCAGAGAGAGGAAGGGAGAGGGAGAAATAGATAGAAACATCAATGATGAGTCATTGATCGGCTGCCTCCTGCACGCCCCCTACTGGGAATCGAGTCCGAAAGCTGGGCATGTGCCCTGACCAAGAATCAAACTAGGATCTCCTGGATCCTATGTTGATGTTCAACCGCAGAGCCAGGCTGGCCAGGCTGTTTTAATATTCTTCACCCAAGGTTTCAGGTCTTATGACACCAAAATATATTTAAAATAAAATTTACTAATGCCTAATATTCATAATGTAAAATGCTAAATAGCTTAATCATCTCATTTATTATATACATTCCATCCTTGTATAAAATCAGTCAGCAGAACAACCAAGATTATTCAGCAACATATGTCTAAATTATATTGACCGAAAACATATCACTTAAGAATGGACTGTCCTGGCCAATGTGGCTCAATTGGTTGGGAATCATCCCGTGCACTGAAAGGTTGCTGGTTCAATTTCCAATTAGGGCAAATGGCCAGGTTGCAGGCTCAATCTGAAGTAGGAGGCGTGCAGGAGGCAGCAGGTAATGTTCCACTCTCACGTCGATGTTTCTCTCTCCCCCTCTTTAAAAATCAATAAAAATATTTTTAAAAAAGAATGGATTGTATCTCACCCTGGCTGGTGTGGCTCAGTTGGTTGGAGTGTCATTCCATACACCAAAAAGGTGGTGGGTTCAATTCCAGGTCAGGGCACATACCCAGGTTGCAGGTTCATGCCCGGTTGGGGCGCATGCGGGAGGCAACCTATCAATGTTTCTCTCTCACATCTCTCTCTCAAATCAATTTTAAAATATATAATATTTGTTTTAAAAAAAAAAAGAATGGTTTGTATTTCATAAGTTTAAATGAGAAATAAAATTCTTGAAAGTAGTAATTTTAAAAAAAAAGTCAAGAGGTGGAAAGTGTTTTAAAATCATAATATATTAATCAAAACAAGCATGTTACAAGTTTTTACATATCTGTATTTTATATATGCATATATACAGGGTAGGGCAAAAGCAGATTTACAGTTTTAAGTACATGAAACAGAGTTTATTCTTGTATTATTATTTATTTTATTATTTCTCATATAAACTATAAACCTACTTTTGCCTCACCTTGTATAAATAAAAACAACCACTTAAAATGAGGAAATTTTAAAAATGAGCACTTGGAAAAGGAGATCTGTCAAGTATTAACCATACTTGTCCCTATGAAGTGGGATTTTTTTCCCCCTTTATCTCTATTCTATATTTCATAGTTTTCCATAATTGAGTATGCAGTATTTTAATAAATATCTCTTTACTAAGTGAATATTTATTTAAAATATTGGATATAAAAGGAATGGCCAAACCAAGGTTACTCAGAATGCTTTAAATAGTACAAGATTCTTCTCCCTGTTAATATATAACCAAGTAAAATTAAAAATAGTGAACATAATCATTCTGCATGTTTGGCATATGGATTTCCTGTAGAAAATAGAAACAATTTCTATTACTTTTACATACATACGTTTCATATTGTTTGACTTTAATGTTTCATAGATATCTAATGCAGCAGTTCCCAACAAAACATCAGATTTCAGTGTCTGGTGACTCCACACACGAAAATGTAATTTACTCATAGGGGTGACGATACTAAAAATGAAGAAAGGTGAAAAAAACTTTTTCATTAAGTATTACAATGGGATGCTACATAAATTACAATTAAGTTTTAATGTCTAAAATCTTACTGCACCCCTCATAGTTTACTATACAACTAATAATACCTATGTTCTATCTTATGAAAAACATCTGGATGCTACATGCTGCATGATCATTTTCTCCTGTAACTGAACTAGAGGTGCAACTTCATTCATGCATCATCAACAAAAGTGAAACTGCTTATCATGCTACAAACAGTTGGAAAACTAGTTTTAGTTTAGTCGTATAAAAAAGTGATTTTATAAAGTAAATCCTTATTTTATGTTAGGTAGTGTACTGAGCTTGAGATTACTTCATTTAATCTTCAAAGCAACCCTAGGAGATGGGATTTAGCACCCTAGGATCTTCAGATATAGAAACTGATATTCAGACAGCTAAACAAATTGCCCAGTATCACACAGTCAATGGCAGACTACAATCTAAACAAGGTGTAGTGTTAAAATTTATAATAAAAAGTTTCTCAGCTAGCTACATAATGATTTGAGTCAGCGACACACTGCTGGAGGCAAACAGCCCAGACAACTGTGAAATACAGACTCACCCATGCCATGCTAAATGCCAGTAATGAATGCTATCTATAATGGTAATTTCCAAAGCAAGCTTTGGGAAATTTGTATTTGCAATAAATTATATTCAAACTATTTTAGTTATCAATTAGAAAAACAGGAACACTATAAAATAAAATCTACTATAAAATCTACCATAGTACTATGGTTCTATGCTATAAAGACAAATTCTTGAAATCTTTTAATTTTTCTATACCTAGTTCTCTCTAAAACATGATCAAATTTGGGGGGACAAATAAACACTCGCCTCCTTAGAAGTCCACCTATGCCTATACCTCATCATCGCATTTCCACCATCACTTTAACAGTAGCAGGTATTTTAAACTGACTAAAACATTTTCGCTTTACAACAGCTCTCTTTTTCTGGCGGTGGTGATTGGGGAGGACATGACATACTCATTCTCTTCAAAATTCTCAAATGCCACTTTCAGGAGAGCATCGAGTATTAGTAAGAAACATTTCTCTATTAGTCATCTGGGAAATCATAACAGAGAAGGGACAAAAAAGTAAGTAAATTTAGTTTTACTTTGAGAGAGAATAAAGTATACTGTCAAAGACGGGCCTCCCTAAGGTATTTCACTTCAACTCAAGAGAGGTCTGGAAAGTGCTACATAGCAATGAAAGCTGTATGAAAATCACAGGCCAGTCTGCTGCAAATTAAAAATTCAGGAGAAGAGCATGAGCCATGTATTCCCCCAAACATCTGGGTTAAATAATAGCACTACCATACGAGGCTACAAGAAAAGTTTCTTTTTTCTTAACTTTTTAACCACTGAGGAATTCATGTCATTATCAGCTTGTCTCAAAATGTGTATCTAGTGAGCACAGATAGCTGTCAGTAGAAAGTTGATGAGCATTCAGTCTGTTATTCTGCTTAACATCTCTAGTCATTATGGAGGTTGTGACATTTTATAGATTTCATCTGATTTTTTTTGAAATTTTTACTCATATATAGTTTAATTTAGATTCAATCTCTAATGAGCCACTAATTAAAAACAAGTCTAAGAAACATTAATGTTGAAATGAATAGAGATGAGGAACATTAGAATACTTCTACAAATAGGCCTCAAGATGATCTTCAGTAAATTCTTGAATTTCACTCATTTGTTCAAAATCATCATGAAGTAAATTAAGATGCCTCAGACCTTCAAAAATCCATGTTAAAGAATAATATAGGTATATTCAATTTGTTTTGTCATTTATTAGGAATAAATACTATCCACTAAGCATGCATCATGTGAAGAAAAGTGTTTCAAATGTCTCATCTGGCCACTTAGAAATAAAACTTTTTTTTAAGTCATTGGTTTACTTCTCTGAGGGAGAAAAAATGCAAGAAATCCAAATGTTAGGTATAAAAGCAATTTGTGTATATTTGATATGTGACAACTAGTTATATTTAAACTACATTTTTATATACATTTGGTCCCCAACCAAATATGCTCTATTACTTTAAAATCCACTTGTTGATAAATCATGCTTTTTCTTTCATTTCAGTAAAAAAATAAAAATAAGCTATAATTTCCTTCAATGAGCATTCAATACCAACATTTGGGGCTTTGTCAATAAGTGTTGAAGTTGAGCTATATCCTATTTCTATGAATTCATACTAGAGAGAACACTAATATATAAACATATGCACATGGATATACACTGTATATCTAACAGCACATTAGAAACCAACTGATCAATAGGGAACTAGTAAAATAAGTGATAGTCCATCCATATTAAGGAATATTATATAGCTGTAAAAGGGAAGTTAGACCTGTATGTACTCAGCTAGAAAGATAACCATGTTATATATGCTAGGCATAAAAATAAAGTTGTAGAAGAAAACACGTAGTATCAGTTTTTTAAAGGAAGAAAATCCCTGTGTAGGTCCTGTGTGGACACTGTAATAAAATCACAACCAAAAAAAACCCCACAAACTATTTTTTTGACTTAACTTAAAAAATATAGTGAGCTACTACTCATGGCCCCATATTTCAACCTTAAGTCAAGGAAAGAGCTGCTAAGAATGGCCCATGACCATGGGCTCTCCCAGCTGTTGTTCAGAGGCAATAGTGACAGCATCACCAACTCAACTGGAGAAGGTGAAGAAAAGGAGAGACTAGAAACAGAAATATCTAAAGAGTAACAAAATGGGGAGGAGAGGAAGTTCTGGGTCAGGGGAAAAAGAAAATGAAAATGAAAAAGATGAGAGGAGGAAAGAAGCAAAGAAAACAAGTGAGAACTTTTAAAGCTGCATTTCTGTTCACCTACTACACAAAATATACTGTGGAAAATACTTTCAAACCTACACTGTAAGGGGTTGCTTCCATTTAGGACTGTTTGTATTGTTACATTTTTCTGTCTTCTTTGACTGTCCATCTACTGTGACTTCCACATAAGGACTTGGTCCAAACCAATTCTTTTTATTTTCTTTAAGTTTTGCTGAAATGACTAAAAGAAAAGGAAAAATATTTCAATATTTGAGATATTAGTTCACCTTCAAATCACTTTAATTTCATAAAGGTTATATAGAACATTATTACTTTTACTCAGAGAAGCGGGTTTACTCTAAAATATTTACTAGCTTTATTCACTCACGACGTTTGTATTTTCTCCCATCATAGTAAATAAATATAGACTTCCCCACACCATCCACCCAAATTCCCATCAGTATCATCGGTATAATATAGCCCACTATCAGTATCAAGTCCCAAAACTCCAAGGTCATTTAAAAAGTACACTCCTGGACGGCGAGGCTCAGTGGTTGAACCAGGAAGTCATGGTTCAATTCCCAGGGCACATGACCGGGTTGCAGGCTCGATCCCCAGTAGGGGGCATGCAAGAGGCAGCCCATCAATGACTCTCTTCATTGATGTTTCTATGATCTCCTGGATCAGGGGTCAACGCTCAACCACTGAGTCACACCAGCCGGGCAATAGTACCGTTCTTACCAATCATTTTGGCTTCTTTCAAATTAAAAAAAATTTTTTGATTGATACTGTTAATATAAAATAAGCAACCAGCCTGGCCAGTGTTGCTCAGTGGTTAGCATCAACCTAGGAACCAAGAGATCGTGGTTCGATTCTCAGTGAGGGCACATGCCCAGGTTGCAGGCTCAATCCCCAGTAGGGGGTGTGCAGGAGGCAGTTGATCGATGATGTTTCTCTATCATTGATGTTTCTATCTCTCTATCCCTCTCCTCTCCCTCTCTCTAAAAAACCAATAAAAACATATTTTAAAATAAGCAACCAATTTTATGAAAGATTTAAGCTTAGACTGCTGTTAAGATACTAAATTAGATATGAGTAATCCTAGATAAAGAAAAAAATGAGGAATTAGGGGGAAAAGAACATATTACTCTGTACTTATACTGTGTTTTGTTGTTTTCCAATTTTCACACTGTCTTCCAACAACCATGTGACAAAGTTGTTAATATCCTCAGTTCACAGATAAGGAAACTGAGGTTCAAAGATATCAGTGACAAGCACAGTTATACAACTATTAAGTATCAGAATGAGGACTAAATCCAGGCACATTAACTCCCCTGAAGATGAGAATAGTTAGTCCATACAGATTTGTTGATTAAAACTAGGGGTGGGGAGATAAATGACCTCCCCAAGAGTTTAACTGTAGAAGTTTTAACGGCACACTAGTCAAAATTAAAAAGTATTTATAATTTCCTGTCAGAATTTTTGCATCTAATAGATCATACAGGTAAGCTATTGCCCAACACAAGGATCAATACAGGTATATTCAATACCAGACAAAATGTTAAAAGATCATTTAAATGCCAGCGGAAGTTCCCAAAGAGGCTACCTCAATGAACTGCCTTGATCTACGTGAAAGAGTAGCACAAAAGACAATCTTTCCTATTCAACTCAAACTTAACAGCTAAATAGCTATTCAGGTTATGACCATACATTAGTTAGATTCAAGTTACAAGAGGGTGTTACTATGTTATATAAATGCTAAAAAGGAAAGGTGAGGCTGCCTTTCCTTCGATACTCCTACAAAGAATATAGGGAAATTAAAACTCATCCAAGTTCTCTAACAATCCATTTATCAACAGCACTATGAATTATTTTTTTAAACCTCTATTTTGCTACAGTTTATAATAGATGCCATTTCTCAGAAATGTCCCACTTGCCCTTACTTAATCTGGTAAGGGAGATAAATCAGCAAATATATATTGTAAACAAATAATTAATAGGAATATATGTGTATGTGTGTATGATAGAGTTAAGAAAATAAAGTTGATCAGAACCATAGAGTAGAATTTTAACTTTTTTAAAAAAAATCCTCACTGGAGGATATGATTATTGACTTTTTTAGAGAGAGGGGAAGGGAAGGAGGGAGGGTTGAAGGAGGAGAGAGGAAGGGGGAGGGAGAAAAATATTGATCCGTTGCCTCCCATATGCACCCCAACCCAGGATGGAACCCACAACCTAGGTATGTGCCCTGACTGGGAATCAAACCCTCAACCTTTCAGTGTACAAGATGACTGGCGCTCCAACACCAACTGAGTCACAGTGGCAAGGGCTAGAATTTCAACTTTTGACCCTAAATTCTATCAGCCTTTTGAGTCAACTTTATAAAAACACCAATCTAACTGCTTGTTCTTTGTGTGGATGAAAAGGGACAACATACTAAACCTGACAAACTCAGGGGAGGCCTGTGTGGTGGCATTATAAACTCAGAGACCTAAAATAATCACAAAGGATGGCCTGAAATTAAAATTATTTTAACTAAAAGCAGTTTATAGTGTGTAGTCATGTCCTATGCCAGTATGTTCCCTGACAAAGGTCAATCTTTATCTTACCTGAACCTATTGTCTTTTTGCATCTACAATAACATATCATTGGAATGTCAAAGTAATTTTCCTTTTTCCAGACCACTCAAAGAACAGACACTGCTCTGCAGGAATCACAAATCCCCTCATTGTTACTGAGTTCATTGTTGACTGTTAACTATCCTGCATCCACCTATGTAAAAGAAGCATGTGTCTATCATTCTACTTTTTATCCAATCCCAGCGGTTTCCCCGCTTTGCTTTCTCCCACCTCCCTAATCTATCACCAGTGGATTTCATGTAACCCACTTAAGTCTCTTTTTATTGTAATGTATACAATAAGGTGCAAAATTGCCATTCTCCACAGCATTATCTCAATCCGTTGAGATTTTGCTTCCTGGCAATTGTCCACAGTTCGGCTCAAATAAACTCCCAAAAATTCTTCACAAGTTTGAATGTTGCTTACATGGACCTTCGTTAAAAACTCTCTCATTTCCCTTAGCAGTGATTTTTTTGTAGCCCTGACACACCTGAAAGAGATGACCCACTTCCATTAGTTCTCAGGATTCCCCCCTCTGCAGCAGTGGCTTTTCTGGGCATAAAAGGAAGTCTTGTGCATTTCCTTCCTTTATGCCTCTTTCTCATCTTCTCTCCTGAAAGGACCCTCGTCTACTTCTCTACATTTAAATAGTAGCAATGCTTCAAGTACCACCTCTTTTCCCAACAACTCTAGCCAAATACTGATATCTCTTTTCTCACCAAACTTGTTATCTCTTCTTGCAATTACCTTAAATCACGGCATTTACTTTTTACACCTGCATATTTAAGCCTTCCTCAATTCTAGAAAGATATTGAAGCACCCTACAATAAAAACAAATATAACTGATCCATTAACATAGAATAAAAAATATAATGTCATTAAGGGGATTTGTGCAAAAAAATTAGGTATGCGGTTTATAGCATCAAAAGCAAAGAAATAAACAATGAATTATGAAGGGCACTGATTCTATTCAACCTGGCACGTCATTATCTTATGCTCTTCATTTGTCTCATATATTTGCTAAATATATTTATGTTCTTCATTTGTCTCATATATTTTATCCATTATTCATGATTTTTGCTTTTATTGTTTTTGCCCTGAACTTGTGAAGTCTCAGAATTTTTAGACCTAAGATTAAAAACTTTTAAATGGCTGAGGAAATGTCTTCTTGAGGTGCATTCTCGCACTTATTAAATATTTTTACTAAGATAATAATGATAATAGCAAATAAGATAGCCAGTTTATGCAAAGAAAGTCTAAAGGAATATAACTATATTTATCTCTGAGGACTGAGATGATAAATAAGGACACCTCACTTCATTATTCTACTGAGTTTTTTAAAATAAAAAGCATGTATACTACTTATCTAATCTGAAAATTAAAGAATTTTTTAAAAGATTGTTCCAATTGAAGGTCTCAACATTAAGCTGCCCCCCCACCCAAAAAAGGAAAGAAAAGCCATAAGAAGCCTGGCCCAATTAAATCAGCTTCTCAGGCTAGCTTGAGGATGGGGAAAGGGGAAACAATTAGAAATTGACTTTAGCAAAAACAAACAAAAAAATTATATATATGTATCTCTTTCTCTGGGAATCAGACATTGCTAAAGAAAGAGACTGGAGTTAGTGAAGGAATTCCCAAAAGTAAATTCTAAGAAAAGTGTTACTTTTATATAATCCAATCACTTTTAGGTTTTGAGGAGGATAATAACAAGGCTATGGTTTTTGGCCTAATAATTCAAAATCTATAGGTGGGTATAAGCCCGGTATAGTAGAAACTAAAATAACATACAGAGGATGATAATTATTCTAAATCAATAAAATAACGTACAGAGGATGATAATTATTCTATAATCAATAAATGTCATTAAATTTAAGGGGGAGAAACTGGGGTTTCACCATGTGACAGATACACATGCATTTCTTAAGAAAATTCAGTGACTTACTTTGACTAGTGCAAATAATTCTCACACACACACACACACACACACACACACACACACACACACACACACAGAGAACTACAAAGAGACCATATGGAACCAGACTAGTAAGGTCTTCAGCCAAGCTAAAGAAATTCTATACCACAGTCAAGGAAAAAGCACTGAGGTTTTTGAGCAGGAATACAACATCAGGTTGGCATGTTAAAAGCATTACTCTGAAAGTAATACACTTGGTTGGTATGGTTAGAGGAAGAAAACAAAGATTGAGATGTTAGTTAAGTAACAATAGCAACCAAAGGATTTAAACAGACGTTTTTCCAAAAAAGATATACAAATGGCCAACAGCACATGAAAAAGATGCTCAACATCATTAGCCATCAGAAAAATGCAAATCAAACCCACACGAGATACCACTTCACACCTACGAGGATGTCTATAAACAAAAAGCAAATTGCAAACATTGGCAAGGATATGGATAAATTGAAACCCTCAAACATGACTAGTGAGAATGTAAAATGATGCAGGATGCTTTGAAAATCTAGAATTCCTCACAATACTAAACATGGATATTATATGATCCAGCAATTCCACTCCTAGGTATATACCCAAGAGAACTGAAAACATACATCTTCATAAAAGCGTGTACATGGATGTTCATATAGCATTATTCATAATAGCCAAAAAGTGAAAACAACCCAAACACCCATCGACTAATAAATGGATAAAGTGAGGTATGTCCATACATCAAATACTATTTGGCAATAAAAAGAAACGAAATACTAATACATGTTACCCAAGAATATCCTGAAATAAAAATGTAATTTTTACATATCTAAACATTTTATTTGTTCACCCATTAAGCAATTAGTAATTCAGCACCTGATAAGTAACAGCCCCAAAGATTTTCTTCTCTTAAGATTATTTTTTTATGTTGGGGGGGGGAGTAAAGTAGTGGGTCTTTTAAAGACTTACCAGTGATCTGAAGTTGTGATTTCATGGTCAGGCTACCCATTGAACGAAGCTGTGATCCACTGTCAGACATACCACCAATAGGACGGCAAACCTGAACACGGCAGAGGAAACACTTATAAACATTAAAAATTCCAACTTAAAAAATATGTAAATAGCCCTAACCGGTTTGGCTCAGTGGTTAGAGAGTTGACCTGTGGACTGAAGGGTCTCGGGTTCAATTCCGGCCAAGGGCACATACCTCGGTTGCAGGTTCAATCCCCAGCCCTAGCTGGGACCAGTGAGGGAAGCAACCAATCGATCTCCACACATACACACCCCTTCCCGACTCGCTCTGAAAAAGCAATGGGAAATACATATATATGTAAACAGAGTTAACCAGGCCATTTCCACACCCCATTGAAGGCCAAATAATAAACAGTGGCCTTCACATTGCTAAATATAATTTTCAATTCTAGTATTCATCCTGCCTAACCTAACAGCAAAATCTGATATGGTTGATTATTCCTAATTCCAAGGTTTACCTTCTTCCCTTGAGTTTCTAAGACACATTCTCTAGGTTTATGTCTTACCTCACTGACTATTCCTTCTTAGTCTTCTCTGACAATTCCTTCTCTTCTCTCCACTCTCTTAATGTTGGAGTAACCTAGGGCTCAGTTATTGGTTCCCTTATCTCTTGATACTCATTTCCTCAAAAATATCATCCAGTGATATGGCTTTACATATCATCTATATACCAAAGGGTCCCAACTTTATATTTCTATCCCAGACTTTACTCCTCAACTCTAAACAACTTTACTTGGGTATTTAAAGACATCCCAAACTTAACACGTCCCAAAATGAACTCCTCATCTCCCCTGTAAACTATCTCAGTTGATAGCAACTCCATCCTTTCAGATGCTTGGGCTAAAAACCTTGTAGTCATTCTTGACTCCTTTCTTTAATATTTCCCTTCCAACCTGCGGCAGATTCTGTTGTTGCTATCTACAAAATATATCCAGAATCCAACCATTTCTCACCACCTCTACCACCAATCTTTCCAGAGCTGCCTCTGACAACCATCTTTTTCTTAGATTACACCTCCCCTCAATTACTGCAATAACCTAACAGGTCTCTGTTTCTACCCTTGTCTAGCCTCAGTACCTATTCACAACACAACCAGGATGAGGACTCTTAAAATATTGAAAATCCAAGAAAAGCTTCCCATTTTACTGAGAGTAAAAGCCTCATTCCATACAATAACCTAAAAGACCTAATATGATGTGTGCTTCCCCGGCTTCCAACTTCCTGATCTTATTTCCTTCTATGCTCCTCCCCTACTCAGGCACCTACCTCCTCATCATCCTAGTACTCTCTAACCTTAGGGACCTTTATTCTATTTGATCTCTTGACAATTTTACAATCTGTTGCCCCTATCCTGGTCATTTTATTCTTCTACAGAATATATCTCTTTCTGACATACTAAGTAGTGTACTTGGTAGTTTGTGGGTTTTGACCCTCTAGGCTAGAATATAAACTCGTCAACAGAGATTCTGTGTTGTTCACTGATGAAACCTAGAGGCCCAAAACAGTGCCTGACACATAGCAAATACTTAAATATCTGTTCGATGAAATGAACCAAGAAATGGCTATTGAATTATACTAACTGGGCGGTTTCTGTGGCTGCCAGAGAGGTGGCTGGGCCGAGGTGGACATCAATGCAAAACTGAGTAAGAAAAACAGTTTCTTCCTCCTAAGCCATGGCATATCAGTTATACAGAAATACCACTTTGGGAAACAGTCTTCAGGAAAGCCTCGATGAGCTCATACAGTCTCAACAGATCACTCCCAACTTGCCCTTCAAGTTCTACTTCAGTTTGATAAGGCTATAAATTCAGCATTGGCTCAGCGGGTCAGAAACAGAGTCAATTTCAGGGGCTCTCTAAATACGTACAGATTCTGCGATAATGTGTGGACTTTTGTATTGAATGATGTTGAATTCAGAGAGGTGACAGAACTTATAAAAGTGGATAAAGTGAAAATTGTAGCCTGTGATGGTAAAAATACTGGCTCCAGTACTACAGAATGAATAGAAAAATGGCCTTTTATGCCATCTTCTGTTACTGTTCATCACTTTTTGAAGAGAAGCATAGAAGAGACTTTATTTATTCTAGCACTGCAGAAATGACTACACTGTGCTATACTATCAGAATCCAGTAGCAAGAAGCTTGTAACTCTGTAGCCTCTTATATTACCTTTACTATAATGGCATGAAGAAACAGAACTTTTTTTTAATGACAAATCAAACGTCGTTGCCTTCCTAATAACATTCTTTAATAAACTCATTTTAAAACTCATTGTGGGTAATAACTGGTAGAGCTATTAAGTTAGCAATGTGAAGATACTAGATAAGCATTTTGAAANAAAAAAAAAAAAAAAAAATTATACTAAATGAAAAACTGTAACATATCTTCTTCAGCCACTAATCAGGGAAGAGTTCATCTCCATGTGAAAACAGTATGATTCATATAACAAAGATTTTATAAGAGTAGAACCATCTGGGCTTGATTCCTAGCTCAACACTTACTATATGATACTATTTGAGTTAACATAACCTCTCTAGGTCCCAGTTTCCTGTCAGAAAAAATGGGGATAATACCACCTCTACTTCACGAGGTTATTGTAAAGATTAAATGATTATGTATGTGAAAAAAACCCTCTGTAAATGTTTGTTATATATCATTAATAGTGTTTGAATTAAACTAAATATGATTTTAAAATGAAAAGTGTTCTCAGGCTTTTGGGGGTCTGGATAAAAATATTAAAAATATTTTGAGTAGGCCAAGGTAAAGATTAAAGACAAACAAAATTTACTTAGCACTTACTATTTGTCAGGTACTATGAAAGAAGTATACAAATACAAAAAGGCAAACAAAATATCTTTAAACTGTAAACACTGCCTTGAGCTTTTATAAAAAATTAGACTTACATTTAAAATTTTGAACATAAAACTATTCTAATATCTTCTCGAATCTACCAAAGTGAAATGGAACAATAATTCCTAATGAGATGAACTCTATAAAATACAATGTTTTATTCCTTGACTTACACATGGAAACAATCAAAGCTAAAATTTTGGCCTTACTATAGTTTTGGTGTGGTATATGTAGTTTTCCCTTCTTTCTTTGTTTGTTTGTTTTTTATTTACTTATTTTAATCCTTACCAGAGGATACTTTTTCCATTGCTTTTCAGAGAGTGGAGAGGGGGAGAGAGAAACATCGATGGGAGAGACACACATTGATTCATTGCCTCTCCCACGAGTCCTGACCATGGCCAGGGATTAAACCTGTAACCAAGGGGTGTGCCCTTGGCCGAAATTGAACCGGGACCCTTCAGTCTGCAGTTCGACGCTCTACCACTGAGCCAAACAGTCTAGGGCTCCTTTGTTTATTTAAAATGTACCATTTCATATATTTTATAACCTACAATTTACTAAGAGCCCTTTTATTTTAAAGATTTTTTAAAATGATTTTTAGAGAGAGAGGAAGGGAGAGAGAAATATCAATGTGAAAGTGAAACATCAATCGGCTGCCTCATGCACACCGCCTACCAGGCATCAAGCCCACAAACTGGGCGTGTGCCCTGACCAGGAATCAAACCAGCAACCTTTTGGTGCACTGGACAACACCCGACCAACTAAGCCACACCAGTCAGGGCGAGCCCTTTTACTTTAAATAGGAAAGGCATACACCATAAAGTCATTAGTCGTCACCCAGAATATAAAGAAAATGAGATGTTAACAGAAAAGCTTTAACAGTGCATTGCACAGGACATTCTTCTGATCAAAGTGCTAGCTATAGAGAAATCCCTCAAAGACATCATTACCACCTTACGTATAGTTATAACTTTCTCTTCAATGCCCAAAATACTATTTGCCACAGAACTACAAAATCAAGACAAATTAAGAGGCGGTAACAAAAGTCTGATATCTAAGTGCTGATTTTATGCATGATAAAATCAGCACTTAGATAATACACATGCATGTATTATTCTAGTTGCTGATCTATATCAAGTTTACTGCTAGAAAAATAGTATAGCCTGGCCAGTGAGGATCAGTGGTAGTGCATCAGCGCAAAGAAGGGTCTTGGGTTTGATTCCCAGTCAAGGGCACGCTACCTTGGTTGCAGGTTTGTTCCCCTGCCCCAGTCTGGGCGCATGTGGGAAGCAATCATATGATCATCTCAATACACAGAAAAGGCACGTGACAAAACTCAACACCACTTCATGATAAAAACACTCAAGGAACTAGGAATAAAACCTCCTCAATCTGACTAATAAAGGTCATTTATAAAAAAAAATCCCCAGTAACATCCTACTTATTGGTAAAACACTGAATGTTTACCCCCTAGGATCAATAACAAGGGATGCCAGCTCTCGCCACTTTTATTCAACATTGTACTGGAGGTTCTAGCCAGGATAATCAGGCAAGAAAATGAAATAAAAGGCATACAGATTGGAGAGGAAGAAGACTAATCTCTATTTGAAGATGACATGATCTTGTGTATAGAAAATCCTAAAGAATCTACTTAAAAACTATTAAACTTAAGTTCAGCAAGGCTGCAGAATCGATCAATATACAAAAGCCACTGTATATATGGTAACAATACAGAATCTGAAAATGAAATTAAGAAAACAATTCCACCCTGGCAGGTGTGGCTCAGTAGCAGAACAATGGCTTGCACACTCAAGGTTCGGGGTACAATTCCAGATCAAGGGTTACAGGTTTGTTCCCCTGTGGGAAGCAACCAACCAATGTGTCTCTCTCACATCGATGTTTTTCTTCCTTCCCTCCCTCGCTCCCTCCCTCCCTCCTTCCTTCTTTTTCCTCTCTCCCTCTTCCCCCCTTCCAAATGCTCTAAAAATCAATGGAAAAAAATATTATCTGGTGAGAATTAACAACAACAACACAAACCAATTCCACCTACAATAGCATAATAATGAAAATACTTAGAAATAAACTCAACAAAAAAGAAACTGTAAAACTAAAAATGAAAGAAGACCTACATAAATGGAATGACATCCAATATTCATAGATTAGAAGACTTAACATGATT